AAAAAAAAAAAAAAAAAAAGTAAAAAAAAGTTTAGATGATATACAGTACTTACTAAGGATAAGGGGTAAGAGGTTTTTTAAAATGAAGTAGGCAATACAAGTTCTCATAAAAATTTTTTGGAGGAAAATTTGGCAGTGTCTGTGAAATTTCTAAATGGATGTTTATTTTGGCCATATCCAAAACCTTATTCTAAGGCTGGCTGCGGTGGCTCACGCCTATAATCCTAGCACTCTGGGAGGAAGAGGCAGTAGATTGCCTGAGCTCAGAGTATGGAGACCAGCTTGAGCAAGAATAAGACCCCGTCTCTTGAAAAATAGAGCCGGGTATTGTGGTGGGCACTTATAGTCCCAGCTACTTGGGAGGCTAAGGCAAAAGAATTGCTTGAGCCCAAGAGTCTGAGGTTGCTGTAAGATATGATGTCACAGCACTCTACCAAGGATAACAAAGTGAGATTGTCTCAAAAAAAGAAAAAAGAAAAAAATAACTCCCTTCTTCAAGCAATCCTCCTACTTCAGCTTCCTAAAGTGCTGAGATTATAGGTGTGAGTCACTGTGTCCAATTCTACTACTTTTATTTGAAATGAAGGCTAAATTATATATGTTTACTTTTGAGTGCCATTAAGAAACTTTGGAGTGAAACATATTGGGTTATGCTTGATTTCTCATTTTATATCTTTTTATTTTATTTTATTGAAATAGAGTCTCATTTAGTCACCTCGGTAGAGTGCTGTGGCATCATAACTCACAACAACCTCAGACTCTCAGGCTCAAGCAATTCTCTTGCCTCAGCATACTGAGTAGCTGGGACTATGGGCGCCTGCCATAATACCGGCCTATTTTTTAGAGATAGGGTCTTGCTCTAGCTCAGGCTGGTCTCAAACTCGTGAGCTTAGGCAATCCGCCTGCCTTGGCCTCCCAGAAAGCTGGGATTACAGGCATGAACCACTGCACCTGGCCCTATATCTTTTTATTTTTATTATTTTTTTGAAGACAGGGTCTTACTCTGTCCCCCCAGCTATAGTGAAATGGCATCATCATAACTTACTGCAACCTCAAACTCCTAGGCTGAACCAATTCTGCCTCAGCCTCCTGATTAACTGTGACTACAAGCATGCACCATTATGCTCAGCTAATTTTCTTTGGGGGTTTTTTTGGCCAGGGCTGGGCTTAAACCCACCACCCTTGGTATATGGGGTCGGTGCTCTACTCCCTGAACCACAGGCCTAGCTCTAATTTTCTGTTTTCCATACACACGGGATCTCACTTGTGCAGGCTGGTCTCAAACTCCTGACTTCAAGCTCAGCCTCCCATATTGCTAGGATTACAAGTGTCAGTCCCTGTATCTGGTCTATTCTATCTTTTTTCCATTAAATTTACCAAAAGTATGTATTTGACTTGTAATAAAATTAATGATAAAAAATTTAAAGGGGCAGGGCGGCACCTGTGGCTCAAAGGAGTAGGGCACTGGCCCCATAT